TCCACTTTTATGAATGCCGAAAAGATGATGCAAATAAAATAGTTCCCAAAGGTTTTCCCGTGGCTATGCGAGTAACAGTTAGGCTAGCAAGTTCCAAACTAGAACTCTCTCGAACTGCATGAAAACTGAAGAAAGAATTCTGAACATCAGCGGTCAGTGACCCAAACATAAACTTTACCTAAATCCATAATTCGATAAAATGTGTCCTAAAATGTCCCGGAATCTACTTCCAAGTTTGTCGCGATCGCTTTTTCTCGCATTAAAACAGTATTTTTGTCATGAAAACGTCAACAAATAATTCTGAAAACCTCCGTGCATGTGTATTAAGAATGTATATGTATAATGTATTCTCCGATTAACATTTAAATGTGTTGATTGATTGGTATTTGCGTTTATTGAGCGTGGCTAGCTCCGATTTACAGTCTATGGACACTAGTCGCGACGAAGTGGCCGGACTACTTGCGGAGTAATCTACACATCTGAATTACAAGCAGAGATTGCGTTGCCAAGGGCAGCGGTCATTATTGTTTTGAGAGGTCAGTTATCATGAAATAATGACCGGTAGAACGTTTTGAAATTACATTCTCAAATCAATGGAGCGTTCTACTGCTGCTGTGAGGAGCTGTGTAATACATCCTTATAACTTTAAAGGGTGTTGAGAAAAAGTATAATTAGTCCAAAATTTGTTTAAGGTCGTGTCATTTCAATATGTTTTTTCTTTTTCTTTTTTTTAATGACTATTCCTTTACATCCTCAGTTGAAATATACTCTCTTAATAATGGCTTAGTTCGATTTGTGACTTTCGCGCGGCCACTACAGTGATAGTGTGTAGCTCCGGAAGGGCTGAGGGCAAGTCTGCACTTCGTAGGTGGTATTATCTTTTTGAAGTGCTCTTTCAATGTGAGTTCTCTCACCCAGTCCTCCTTTTCTTTAATCCTCCGCAGAGTAGGTGTGTGCCAGGCAACCAGCGCCGCACAGAAGACTGATATTTGCTTAAACCAAATCCTCAGCGGAGGCATCCCTCTTTAATCCACTTCCAGAATCACTGCGTCCTCTTTCATTTGGGCATCCGTCACCGGATATGTCAGCGGTGCTAGTTTCACTTTCTCTGCTTCTGGCGTGTCGCTTTTGATGTGGAAGGGAGGCCGTTATGTGCAGGTGTTCCATGTCGATGTCCTCTGTTTGTGAGATAATGACGTCGTCTTTGGCTAAAACCTGGCACGTTTACATTCATGTTTCTAATATAAGAAAAGATGAACCCTTAGTCGTTCCTCAGTGGGGAGATTTCAAAGCAGAATAAAATGTGAAAATAAGATCACTCAGGTTGCACACATCAAACAGGATCTATTTTTTAAGATGATAAAATAATAAGATAATAAAACTAAAACTCTGGAGGTATAATTGCACTTGGTTCAAGGATAAGTAACTTGTGTATACACTGTAGGTAGCTGCAGTCATAAGGTATTTACAGATGTTATTTGGTACTTTAGCAGCGGATATTTTTACCAGAATAAGCTATAATAATAATAGCAGCAGGTAAAGTGACTAGTGAAGTATCAGAACAGAATTATCAGATGAACGGAATATGTAACATTGTAGTAATAATAATAGCACTTTGTTAATGTTAATTGTTGTTGATGATATGTCTGTTCATTGACATGCACTGTCTCATTCAAATGAATAAATAAATAAATAAGAAGTTCAGGAAAATGAGGGGCCCAAAAATGAAGACAATGCAATAGTATAAAAGTATCCATATCCAGAACAACATAGTAAAATTTCTAAGAATTCCTGGTTGGGCAAATAGGATGGATTTTCACGATTCATGAAGTGTGCCGATACGGTCGGACAACTACACCTAAAGAAACCTTTCTTTTTTTCATGATGAAACTGACACACACAAGTTACAAGTTTCTTTGAAAATGTATTTGAATCTAGTACAATGAGTTCAACACTGATCAAATGTGCCCAAAAAAGAATATTTTCTCAGGAAAGTCGTGTTAAATTGAAATGTGTCACTCTTCTCACAATTCAATTTAACACGTTCAAAGTTGACATCACATGTTTCTTTGAATATTATTTTGACTGTAGAATATATATTTGATTAGTGCTGAGCTCATTTGCATAGTTAATACATACCATTTATTTGTTATTTTTAAAACACATATTAAAAATACAATATTTATTTTATTTCAAATAATAGTGAACATAAAACACACATACGACTAACGCACACAGATGCAGAGGGGAAATGAAAGAAAAGAAAAAGTATGAAAATCTGTACCAAAGAAAAAACAATTCTAAGGAACTGAGACCTAAAATGACTTCGCTGTAAACTTTTGCACAGTGTTCACAAAAGTCATCAAATGATACTTCTTTTCATTAGTACTTCCGGTGTGTAAAGAATCATCATTGGGCAGTGCAGTGGTACTTTGGTCTGCATAGGTTTCCTCTGGGTGCTCCGGTTTCCCTTACCACTTAAATGATGTACAATAGGTCTGGCATGTGCCTCCTGTAGGGCGACCCCGCTCCCATCACCGTGTGAAGTGAGAGACAAATGCCCACAACAATTGCAAAGTGCTTTGTGACTCCGATCTGTGAAAGACGTTAAATAAAGAAAACATACTCAGTTACTTGATACTGTGATTGGACTGAAGGGCAGAAAATAAATGCAGTTGTCTAGTCCAGTGTTTTTCAACCTTTTTTGAGCCAAGGCACACTTTTTTCACTGAAAAAATCTTGCGGCACACCTCCAGGAGAAAATGTAAAAATGTATACAGTACTAATGTAAAAATATATACTGTACATACTCTGTGTGATATATAAAGTATATCTTATCTTATAATGTATACAGTATACTCTGTAGCCTATATTCACAATATACAGTTATTCTCATCAAAATGCTTAAGTCCAGGCCTTGACATTAAGCTTTATTTAATATTTATCGATACAATTAATAAGAGTTTGGGAATAAAGTGGCACTAACTGTGTGGAAAAAAACTAAGAAAATCCACTCTCTGCCCAAATAGTCAAATAATAACTCACACAAAGAACATGCATTGTTAGTGCATGGGGAAAATTTAGGTATCCGAGCTTTAAATTCAGGAGTTTTGGATGAGGGACACGGGAGGTCCTGAACGCGAGTCCATGGTTCTGTCCGGTCCGCATGTCTATGGTTCTGTCCACTCGACTATGGTCTGCGCTCGGTACCCAGTTCAGAAGTGCGTTCGCGAGAGCTGTTGTACAAAAATTGTACATTTCATATTTAAACCACTACAACGCGGCCACAGCTGCCCCGGGGCAGAGCGGAGGATGTTAATCCTGTTCAGAAACGGCATAATTCATTTTCAAAAACGTCTCTATCACTTTCACTTCTCACTCGCCACAAAGCTCTTGTCTTGCTCCCTCCCACATTTGTTGGTCGCATCCAATTTTACCTTTCTCGCCACAATGCTGACCTGTTACAGCCTGTGGTCGCATCCAATTTTTCAGTTTCAAAGTACTTAGCTATCTGCTGCCATCTACTGATTTGAAAAAGTATTACATGGTTACTCCACAGTTCAAAACAAGTCACCGCTTGTCAACAGCGAATGCAGTTATTTTTAGACAAAGTAGACGAATTTCTCACGGCACACCAGACAATATCATACGGCACACTAGTGTGCCGCGGCACAGTGGTTGAAAAACACTGGTCTAGTCTAGTATTAGTCTGGTCGTCTCATAGTGGCACCTATTTTTCCCAGCGATGGTTTCTGTGGACTTTTAGTGCGCTGTCGTGGAAATGTGTTAATCTAAAAAAAAAAAATATTTTGTCTGAACTAAAGTGTTTCCTCCAGACTGTGATTCCACCTGATCACAGAACTGCAAAGTGCCACAATGTTTGGAGATTTAGTAACTCCTGAGCCAAACCAATGTTGATGTGTAATCATGAGGTTATTGTCATTATTATGGGTGAAGTTGTGCGGTCAGATGACTATTACCTCAGGTTAGACTGGTCCAGATTTCACAGTCATTTATTGAACAAACAGGAAGCCTCAATATCATTAAAAGGGGCATGATTTGTTTCACCCAAGAGGCAGATGAGAGGAATATTAAGGGCTGCAATTTTGACAAAATGTTATTGTGTTTTTTTTGTATTGCTGCACGATATACACAATATTTTCAAAGTAAATGAAATAATCCAACCACTTCTGAGTGTTACATTTGAAATACAGTCACACGTTTTAAAACCATAAGATTAAGAACAATTCAGTAATGAGAATACGTTTATTTTTCTCTTTTTGTTCAGTTTTTGATAGTTCACATTTAATTTTTAGTTTACAACCTCAACCTGTGTTTCTTTGTTTTTGATTTGAAGAGAAAAACTATGAGAAAAAATATATTTCAAAACATGATTAAACACTAGTGAATAAAGACTTGAATTTAAATGTTGTGAGAATATTGTCGTGAGCAAATGTGGAAGCTGGAACAAGAAAAAAGAAGCAATTTCCAACTGAGAAAAAATTAGAATAAGGCTAAATCCACTAAATACACTACACTAACAAAATTAAGATATTATTTATTTTCCTTCATTAAAGCTTTTTTTTTTTTTCTGTCAAATTTGTTGTGTTTTTGGCAAGAAACTTAAATAATTGTAATCTTTGTGACATGTTAATTGCGTCCACAAAAATGGCTATTTTCATTGGACCAAGAATAAATGTGCAGCTTTAATTAGCTTTAAAACTTTAATTATCAGTATTAGGTGGTATTAGTACTGTATAAAAAAGAAAGCAGTGTAATCTCTCATTTGTCCTCGGGTGATCCATGGCTTGTAGACTATTTGTGAGTTTTCCTAAACATTTCCATCTGGTTGTTTTTCTTCTATCCGAACACAAACATGAACCAAACTGTATGAGACGTTTTTGAAGGCAGCTTCAGTTGGACTTATTTATATCAGACCGTGCTGTTCAGAGTATTCTCCGTGTTGTAGTGGGCTGATCCCTTTTCCGTTTCCCTCACAGCGAGCACCTATCATGCGCCTTCACCTTCTTCCTACACGGCGAGAGCAACGTCTGCACCAGTGTGGAGATCAACCAGCACCAGCCGGTCTACCACCTGACCGAAGAGCACCTCTCCCTCGCCCAGCAGGCCTCTAGCCCTTTCCAAGGTGAGCTTCCATTTAAGCTCTACCCCAAATACATTTTATAATACACACACACACACACACACACACACATACACGTTTTTGTTACCTGGTGGGTCCCTTTGACAGGGCCGTTCAGAATGGGACCCATAGACATAATCTTTTTTTACCAAGACTTTAAGTAATACAAAACAGTCAATAGAAACCAAACAACTATTTTAAAGGAATTTTATTTTAGATTTTGTTTTCGAATTGCAGTGATTCTATTTTTGACATAGAATTTAATGCCACTCCATGTCCGATGTCTAAGGTCATCTGGTGAGGCATTAATGCAGGCCAGGCAGTGAGACTTCCCAGGGACCTTTCCAGTCTGTATGAAAGGTGTCATGGTCTTCTCCACAGCCTTCACCTCAGATGCAGACCATGGCTTTCTTACACGTTCTAGGGAGAGAAATAAAAATATATTAGCAATATACACTCCCAGGGTGAGGACCAAGCAGCCTGGCTGTAATCCCCCACCTGGTACACTTACCAGAAGGGGCACTGCCACTACCATGGGGTGCATCTGGATGAATGGTTGAAGGTTCTCCGCTTGAAGTTTCTTTTAGCCCGTCCGTTTGTGAGAGGATCTCTACTGCTCTCCCTGTCGCACAGAAAATAAAAATACAAGTGGCCTTTAGGGGAAAAAAATCATACATATTTTAATAATATCAAGAATTACCTTCAGGCTTAATTTGTATCTGGTCGAGGCTCTTTCCTTCGAATTCCGTCACTCTTCCCTGCTCCATGGCCATCAACACTTTGCTGATTTTGGCCAGCTCCAGTGTCCCCTCTGGTAGTCTGTAATATTGCCTGTGGATGCGAATGTCATGGCCGAGGAAGTTGGCAAGTATGTCCATCTCATTCTCTTTCATATTGAGAACTGTAGACATAGTAGCTATGTGCTTTCTAAGTTTGGTTGAGGATAGCATCTCTGGATGCACCGCACCACATTCTTTGGCTACCTGGCGTAGGGAGTCTGATCCCCTGATGTGGGTGTCTGCGCCCGGGCGGGAAAAGAAGTATGGGTTATGGTCAGAGATGGAACAGGCCCTTCTGTTCTCCACCAGCACCTCCATCGAAGCAATCATTTCAGGAGTCAAAAGAACCGGCACTTTCCGACTTCTTTTCCCTTTAATTTCAATGCGTTGAAAATGCTGACACAGCTTTTTCTCAAGTTGGGACAGTCCCAGAGCAATGTCAGAATGGATCCCAGTCTTACTTCTTAAGGTAAAGGCTGTCAGTGGCATCTTTGAAACCTCACCTTCCCTTCTTCGATTGAAAATGATGACCTCACAAAGAGTCAAAACTGCCAGTTTAGACCAATGCTTAGACGTTGGCTCACTTATTAGGGTTTGCACATATTCAGGTCGACATACCTCAATATGTGCATGCATGGCTCTAACGTCCTCAGTCAGAGGGAGCAGGTCCGGAGTGTTCCACTTGGCTTGCCGGAGGGTCTGTAGGGCAGCAGAAGAAACACAGACGTCCCACCTCTTCTCAAAAAGCAGCCGGCTTCGTTGGAGGTTTTTAATAAATAGTTCATCAACACAATGCTCCATTTTTGAGTCACATTCAAGAATATCTGCTAGCTTTCTGAGGCTATGGCCGAGTTTGAGGGCCAAGGATGGAGTCTTGTATTGATTTGTTTCCTCATCATATCCAGCCACAGACCTGACTGCATCAATCACATGGTTAAAGTTGGAAGGAATAAAGAAATCCTTAATTGTTTTCAGTTTCCCTGCGGTTTTTGCTTCGTTAATTAACCTACCGACTTCTCTCATTTTCTGCCTAATGTAATCATGCTTAGTCTTATCATGCCCGTGTTTTAAGTACAGGTGCTCTCCGAGTCTCAGAATCCCCTTTTCTGCTTTGACAACACCCGTGACCTCATCCTGATGCATTGCCGAAATTAAAGACCACAGCTTTTTGCTGATGCCCTCCGGTACAGGCTGGGCTAGGGAGCAGAGGGACTGGACCCTACTTCTACCTGGTTTAGCCTGGGCATCTTTCTGTGAAAGCCGGCACCTGGCCACATGCCTCCACAGCGACTTTCGCTTAAGCAATGCCCCACAGTCTATACAGTGCAAAAACTCACTGGATTTAACTGGGGAATTTGGCTGTTTAGCTGGGACTAAAGTTCCAATGCCGGCCTTTAAAACCTCAAAATTGTGCTCACGGTTTCCACTATTCCTGATCAAATCAAACTGAAGTTTACGTGCTTTAGATTTCACAGGTAGAGCCAATGCTCTGGCTACGTCACTTTCATTTCCATGTTTTCTAGTCAAATGACGGGACATTTTGTGGCAGGACATTGAACAGTAGAGGCAGAAGTGTCTCTTGCTGTAAACTCGCCCCCCATTTTTCTTCTTTTGCAGCTGCATGATAACAATCTTATTTGCCTTTGGTTCGTCACTTTCCGAGTCTTGAAGAAAAGTGTTTTTGATTTTTCTTTTTCCATACTTTTTTACAGGTTTCTTCTTGACAGTTAAATCGTCAGAATCTGAGTCGACTTCATCAATTAGGGACTCTTGACTAAGCTGCACAAACAACAAATAATTTGTAATCATTCTATATAACAATTTGAAGTCATGACTTGTAGTCAGCACTTACCAGTGGTTTGTAAGCGTGCGCTTCAGTGTGCTCCTCCATGATTTCTTGCAGCCTAATGAACCACACACTTGCACCTTTTTCTAGCCTGACACCTGATTTCCTCTGTTGTGCTGCTCCATGATTGGCTCCAGCCTGCTGGACTGAAATTGCCCCAGTGTGCCCCTCCTTGATATCCCGCAACCCACCACCAGGGTTCCGACACATAACACACTTTTTTCAGGAAAGTAAACCTCCAGGGGTCCTTTCCATATTTTTACAGAGACTGCATAAGGACCGTTAGAAAAGCATTACCCATTGATTATTAAGCTTGGACCAGTGGGGTCCGGTGTTCGGGCCCCACCACGTAAAACCAGTCCCCATGACGTGAGTGGAATCTCAGGTTATGGAACCCACCAGGAGTTGAAAACAAGTGCACACACACACACACACACACACACACATACACACACACACACACACACACACACACACACACACACACACACACACTTGACTTTCATTCACAAAATTTAATCCAATTTAATTTAATGTGTGAAACAGGAATATGCCACCATCACTCATTGGCTAAAGGCTAAAGTGGTAGTTTACTTATTACATTATTATAATAATTATTGTTAGGAATGTAAATCTTTCTGTCTGTGTGTTCCCAGGACAATGTTTCTTTTCAATGTATAATTAGTGTGTACACTCATTTTACACTCTCTGTTTGAGTGTAAAATGAGCTTGGATTTCAATCATTTGAAGTTATATTGATAAAAGACAATTTGTTTTACTGCATTATCTTTTTTACATTGTTTTAAAGATAACATATAATTATATTTTGCTAAACAAAACATTTGTCTCTTTAAACATTTGTGGAAAGTGTTTATTACTTTAAGACTGCTCTGTTGCCGCTTGGAGACTTGAATACACTTGACTATACTTAAGATGATTTAAGATTTTTTTGCGAAGCTTTTATGATGATAAATTTATGTTACGTTCAATCCATCAATCCTGTTTCCTGAGTTTGAGAGATCACATGAACACAGCATGTTTCAGTAGCCTCCTCCTCCATCTCCTCCTCCTCACTGTGTAGAGCCTCCTCCTCCATCTCCTCCTCCCCACTGTGTAGAGCCTCCTCCTCCATCTCCTCCTCCCCACTGTGTAGAGCCTCCTCCTTCATCTCCTCCTCCTCACTGTGTAGAGCCTCCTCCTTCATCTCCTCCTTCATCTCCTCCTCCTCCTCCATCTCCTCCTCCTCACTGTGTAGAGCCTCCTCCTCCATCTCCTCCTCACTGTGTAGAGCCTCCTCCTTCATCTCCTCCCCCACTGTGTAGAGCCTCCTCCTTCATCTCCTCCTTCATCTCCTCCTCCTCCTCCATCTCCTCCTCCTCACTGTGTAGAGCCTCCTCCTTCATCTCCTCCTCCCCCACTGTGTAGAGCCTCCTCCTTCATCTCCTCCTTCATCTCCTCCTCCTCCTCCATCTCCTCCTCCTCACTGTGTAGAGCCTCCTCCTCCATCATCTCCTCCTCCTCACTGTGTAGAGCCTCCTCCTCCATCATCTCCTCCTCCTCACTGTGTAGAGCCTCCTCCATCATCCCCTCCTCCTCACTGTGTAGAGCCTCCTCCTCCATCATCCCCTCCTCCTCACTGTGTAGAGCCTCCTCCTCCATCATCTCCTCCTCCTCACTGTGTAGAGCCTCCTCCTTCATCTCCTCCCCCATCTCCTCCTCACTGTGTAGAGCCTCCTCCTCCATCATCTCCTCCTCACTGTGTAGCGCCTCCTCCTCACTGTGTAGAGCCTCCTCCTTCATCTCCTCCTCCTCCTCCATCTCCTCCTCCTCACTCTGTAGAGCCTCCTCCTATATAATAACAAATTAATTTTATTTGACATGAGTTTGGATATTATTTTCCGTTTGGATTCAACCACAACTGGGCCAAATATCAAAATGAGATGTAATTTGAGCCTGATAATTAACTATTAAAAGTTCATCTTTGGCCAAACTTAACTTCTAATTACACCAAGATAAGATAGACTTTATTGATCTCATGTGTGAATGTACATGTCACATTTGGATAGAATCACTCAGATTGTGAAAAAGACAGAAAGTATGCAAACATGTTAAAGGTTAAAAACATTTACAACAACAGATGAAATTATAGGTTTGTTTTCCAGAGTAAGAACACTTTAAACTGAAGTATAACATGCCATAGTATCCCATCACCATCAATGCTGCGAGTTTGACACTACTGGTGTAGAGCCTCCTTCTCTATCTCCTCCTCCTCCTCCTCCTCACCAGTGCCAGGACCGCTTTAGTGTGTGTCTGAGTGCTGGAGCAGGCAGACCCTTCAGGATGTGACCCCATAAAAGGGCGCAGAGTGAATGTAATGAACTCTCAGCCCATTACACCGATCTGAGCCCGTTTGACAAGTCTTCAGGGAGCCACAGATACAGAAGGGAAGCAGTGGGAGGTGGGACGGCTCCTACAGGAGACTGACAGAAGGCTGTGATCTTGTCTAAGTCCTATTTGTCTTGTGCTACCTGTGCAGTCTATGAGCGCCCCACTCAACCTCCAAGTGACATGCTCTACATCAGGGGTCCCCAACCTTTTCAGGCCCTGACAACTGACATATATATTTGCAAACTTTGTGACTTAGGAGAGGTGGAAAATGAAACACATTTTGTTTTGTATTGTCCTTTGTATGACGATCTTCGTAATCTCTTGTATAGTGGTCTGTTTGTTAAAAAGCCTGAATTGTTTTGGAGCAGTGATGATGAGAAGCTAAAATGTTTGTTTAATTCCAATGTGTTTAAATTGGCTACTTATGTTGGTAAAGCCTGGAAGCGCCAGCAATCCTGTTTCTTCAAATAAGTTATTTTTGTATCCTGTCAATCATCTGATCCTGTTCTTTATATTGGTGTCTTATAAGCCCATGAGAGGGCTGGGCATACAGTTGTATGCAAGACACAATAATACATACATATTCATTCATTCATTCATTCATATATGTAATTGAATATATAAATGTAGTAATATACATGGAATCATAGTAAATTAGTTTTAACGTTTATTTAATGTGTTGTGCTATTTGATCTAATACCACTTAAAATATTGTTTGTATCAAAAAGATAAAGATAGGGAAATTTTGAAATAGTATTATGCAAATCATCTTGTGATCCCCAGCTCGTGTCCCACAACCTTTACTTTACTTCTGCTTGAACAAAACTCTTGTTCCTCCTCGTCCAGTTGCATTATTCATGACTGCTTTATCAACATCTAACAGTCCCTTTTTTGTCTTAATGCATAATAATGTTTACTATTTATATAGTGCTCAAAGACGCTTTACTTGTCCCACAATATATACTTGGTTTAGATTGTTTCTGTCTGCAGCAGCTCTTGTTTATTACCCTGTAAAAACAATAACTATTGAGATCAGTAGAATCAGTAAGAATTTACGACAACAAATGATCTTTTATTCAATGTTTCTGTGTTCTCTTTTTCCTATAGTAATCTTGAGTCCATTTGGCTTAAATGGAACACTAACTGGTCAGTCGTTCAAGATGTCAGACCCTCCCACTAAGAAGCTAATTGAAGAATGGAACCAGTTCTATCCCATCAGCCCCGGTGCCAAGGAGGGCGGGTCAGAAGATAAGATGGAGGACATGGACTGGGAGGATGACCCTTTGGCCTCTGTGGAAGTTCTTGTTGGTGAGTGTTGTCTGCATGAGTCTGTGAAGGTCCTGAACTCTGTCACTACACACTTATGATGTGAACAGGTGGGGTGCAGATGGTGTACCCGTCCTGCCTGGTCCTCGTGCCTCAGTCAGACCTCCCTGTTATTGCCCCTGTGGGGTCCTCACACTGCACTGCCGTCTACACGAGTGGCCACCAAGTGCCTGCTTCCCAGAGAGAGCCTGCAATGTCTTTGGTCACTCTAACCCCTCCCACCTCTCCGGAAGAAACGCCACCAGGTACTTCACTTTTTAATTTCATGTGTTTCTGGGCACTTTGTTCAACACCTTACAGCATGGGCAAAATAAATAAGATAAACATTATTACATTAAGGATTATTTTTAACATGTCAAATAAACTGTGCTAATGCTCTTCAGTGGAATCCTTCACGGCTCAAAAGTGGGTCAAAATGACTTCATCTTCTGAGGCGCTGAGTGTAGACAGAATGAACCATCACGGAGGCAAGGTTCCTCGTCGCCTGTCCCATCAAGTGGTGAAGCGAGTGTGGCAGGAGTGCAATATCAACCGAGTGCAGAACAAGTAAGTTACATACGAGAGGAGACACTGAATTAGACAATATTATCTTTTGACAATTTGGGTCTCATGTTTTCTTCTTTGTGTAGATTTATTTTGTACTTTACAACATCAGCTGACACATTTCACTTTGTACTGTTTAGCTTCTTCTTAGATTGAAAGACAACTACTGGGTTAGGTGTAATTATCTTGTCACCCGCCTTGGTGACATGTCACTTCCTGATGAGCTGACACTATAATACCAACTCTGCAGCCTGCAACCCACATGACTGCTCACTAGTACTATGTATTTTTATCATTTTATCAATTGATTTATAGACGTCTATCCCTCTTTCTACCAGAGAAACCCCACTTCTCCATCATTCTTTCTTATATTATAAGACCGTACTAAATACTTTTCGATTTTCAACATTTTGAAAGAGCTTTTCAGAATCCACAGTAATTTGACCTGCCTATTTTTCTTTTATCTCAATTATTTAGTGACAATATTATTCCTATCCTATTATTGCAAAATAAAAAATTCCCTTTGATAAGGATTTGTTCATGATGAATCTTTCTTGCACAGTGAAATACAAAGACTAAAAACTAAAATCTTGCTTGATCATTCTTCACTCGTCTTGTGACAAATGGACCTTTGCGAGATGTCGTCCCATCTCTAATTGATTGCATGTTTTCTCGAGAGAGTTTGTCAATCAAATAAGGATTTTAACTATAGCAGTCGATCTCACTATAAAATCTAATTCCTCCCTATCTACTTTTTTCGCTTCCTTTTTTTTCAGACGGAAATACTCTGTTGCAACAAACGGTACCTGTGATGAGGTGCTGGCTGAGAAACTGGGAATGTGGGATTTTGTGGAGCCTTCAAAAAGGTCGCACTGCAGCTGTTCTAGGTGAGTCACTGGATATGAGGAGCAGTATTAGTGTGTGCGCAGCTAATCCTCTGATGTGTGCTGTCATATTTCAATATTAAAAAGGGGAGTCGACGGAGATTTGCCACTGAGCAGCAAAGTCAGCAAAATAAAACTCTTAGATTTCGGCAAGCATATTGTTCTTCATATTCCTATGAATCAAGAAAAAGAGATACAGAATTCTTTATTGAATTAAAAAATGTCTACAATGTTGTCTGGGTTTTAGTTGTTGTATCATATTGTGTCATGATGATAACTTAATCTTTAATTCAGAGAAAAATAGCAGCGCAAAACCATGATCTATCCAAACATATTGGGCTTGTAGGGTCTTTCTAACAGAAGAGTAGCTTTGGACTATTACAGGACCTAAGTGGATTGGCCTCGTCAGCCAGACTATGTTTATTTGTTGGCCTGACCAATACTTGCTTAGAACTAAAATGAGTACTTTGCAAACAGAAGTGTCAGAGATTGCTGCTTATACTTATAATCTGACGTTATGCCTGGAATTTTGAAATGACACCTAGGATGATGATCACCACATCTCCTAAGTAGATGCTGAATAAATGTATCTTCCTCATTGTTTGCTCTCTCCCCTGCAGACACAAATCAGTAAAGCAGCGAACAGGCAGCACCCCGGGTCTAACCCAGTTACCCGGCCAACCCTTACAAACTCCCACAAAGCACAAAGCAGGGGGAGACAAACCAGAGAAAGGTGACAAGCAGCAGAAAAGGCCACAGACGCCTTTTCATCATCGCAGTTTGGCCTGTGAGGAGACATCGATTGAGAGTGAAGCCACTATCAACCAGAGGCTAGTTCTTCGAAGCCAGGAAGGAGGAAGATTCACAAATATTCGCCCTGTGGAAGTGCCCAGCATTCAAAAAGCCTCCCAGCTTCACAATGGGACAGAACATGCTAACTCTCCTCCACCCCCACGCCTTAGCCCCCACCCTTGTGAACAAAATGAGGAGTCTGGGGAGGGTATGAAGAACTCCTCATCCCCCAACAGTCAACACTTCTACCATGCGCCACCAGAGCCTTGCCTTGTGGGAGGGAAAAGTGGCAGTGTGGAGACATGCGGCCCCGAAAGCCTGAGTCAGCACTTCCAGCACCACATGCCCTCGGGGGTCCCTTCTTACCTGGACCCTCCAGAGCCTACAGTGTATATGGGCTCAGCGGTCAACCTGGAGGTGGACAGCTCCCATGTTCCGTGGAGGTTCTTTAACCTGCCTCGTAAGAAAGACTCTGAGCCACCAACCCTTCTACTGCCGGGAGACAAGCTGAGAGATGACACGGCATCGTCAATGGACAGCTTAGTGTCAGTTACAGAGTAAGTGAAACACGGACATTGCTAAGCTTTGTATATTGTATTAAATAGTTCTTACTGTCAAACTGAGACATTTGTCTCCCAGCTTTGTAGTGCAGCTTCATAATGTTTTAATCTCCACTGGGCCAGTCACCTACAACCACTGTGGGCTAGTGAACATTTAGCCGTTGGCGTTAAATTGATCAAATACTTAATGATGTCTCTTTGGGGAAAGCATAAGAACCAATAGAATGCAACTCCCTATTTTGTGAAAAAATGTACATGCAGTGTCACTTAAATGTTTTTGTCTCACCTTAGATTGATGTCCACATCGAAACATCCACTGAAGATATCAGACGAGCGGTTACAGATGTATAGGGCCAGGAGAAATCAGTACCTGTCTGCTGCCTTCAGTGATGGAGAGCATGAACCAGAGGAGGATCCGTATGCATTTGAGGAGGGAGACGTTAAGTTCACCTTCAACAAGAGGGATAAAGCAGGAGAGCGAGAGCCGGGCAAGAAGCATAAGGTAGGAAACGTCACTTTGTACTCGGCAGGCAACTACGGATATTCAATTAAGGGGGATTTTGGACAGATTGTATGACATGCTTGTCAGCGGGGGAGAAAGAAAGCCATCTGGAGCAAAAAGCTTCAAATAGTATTAATTTATCTGTTTTCAGATGTACATTTTACTTACATTTAAAGACCAAACTCCTGCCGCTTCTTCTGTTTCTTTAGGTAGTTTCTTCCTTTCATTTGGTTTAGTGCTCCTTTCCTCTCTCTACAATCTCTCCTCCGTGCCTCTGCCTGTGGGGCTACTCTGCAACTGCTGGCTCTGTTTTCAGACAATAGCCACCTGTTAGCAATGGATTGCCCCCAGCGCTGAAAGAGACTCTATGTGTGTTCATTCACTGGCTGTAACTTTGCAGCTGGCTTCACAGGGGCAAGAACCTAACCGCTGTAACAAACTTGCTCCAGTGAACCATTAAGCTTCAAAAAGAACATTGTGTTAGTTTGGCCTGTCTGTAGTGTCAGACTTTGGTCAATGTTGGAATATAAGTGAGTCAAGCTCTCCACGGAGCCTAGTCTCCAGGCTAGGTACTCTCATCCTTTTCTTTTGTGGTTTTCTGTATTTTTTTGGGCAAACTAAACAATTGTGTACACATTTCATTATCCATGAACGTGTATTATGTATTTTAATTTTTCCCATAAAACAAAATAATTATTGACAGTTTCAGGATTTGATGCGCATAATTCTTCTGTTAAAATTTATTTAACAGAATAAATATTTTAGATATGTTTTTGAACATTTCCTCCCAAGGTCAGAAGCTGAGAGCCCACTAGCACCTATAGATTGTGGCCTTCTGTGATGTGGATTGCTCCTCTAAGAGAGACAGATTAAGGTCTGCATAGCACTGAAAAAAGCCTTGGAGCGTAATGAAATCAATGGCCAGAACATAACATTCCTATTCCCCAGCTCGAACTGCTCAGAGTCTGCACACAATGTACACAAGCCCATGATAAAAGCACACGTCTACACTCATAGACACACAGCGCACTGGCACAGAGCCGGCCCTCCCAGATATTGATGTCGAGGTGGAAGCAGGAACGGCCATTCCTCGGATCACAATTTCACTCGGATCCACACTGGAAATCTCATTTTTCACCACACAGACACACTGTTTTCTCTTGTTTCACCTACACGCTCTTTGAAAGCATGCATATATGAGCTACAAAACTATTCTGTATAATGCCCTAACTGTAGTTCGCATAAACGTTTTCTCATCTTATCTTCAATTCTATTCAATTTATTCTTGTATTGTCCTAAATCACAACAGTAGGTATCTCCGAGGACATGGTATTGGTATTGGTCCATAAGTCTTGATAAATGTCCATTAATGTTGTTAAATGTTGATTGTCCTGAATCTTCACCACTGTCCTTTTAGCTAGACCTCACAAGACTCTGACAGATAATCTTATATCATTCCAATACTGAACATTTCTCCATTTCTTTTCAACAGGGAGAGGATGACGGGGAGAGTTTATCTGATGGTAAGTCTATGTTTTCCTCAGTAATTACATACAGCATACAACATGTTGAGCTACTGTAAAACAAACTGATCATTTTGTGGGATTTTAATTTATAACTGTTCCCAGATGGCCAAAAAGGGGGAGCAGCTCAAAACCGTGGGGCTCCTACAAGTCTTTTCCACGAAACTGATCTGGTCGTGTCCCTCAAGGATCTGGATAACCTTTTCAACTCAGATGAAGATGATCAAGCTGTAAGCTGAAACTCTGATAAATTTAGAATAAAGATTGATAATGAATCGGACAATAAATTGTTTTTTTATCTTTGTGTTCACAGCCTGGTTCCAGACGACCAGGAAACGGAGCTGATGAGAAATGTGGGAGTAAGGAGTGTAAACCCTCTCTGGAGCCTGTATCTTGTATAAGTAGGTGTCTCTGTCATCAACAGAGTTCACAACTGATAGATGTTGTAGTTACTGAAGGAATGCCGTCAGACTCTTTCTATACTCATGTTCTTGGATTTTACTTTGCCATCTAGTGGTGAGATAGACACATTGCAGACTGTACAGTTTAGCTTGACTTTGTAAATTACGGATTTTGCAGATTACTGAATGTAGCAATGGCTACTGTTATAGTCTGTAAAATCATCTCTGATCCTAGTTGACATTTTTGTGTTTTCTCAGGTTCTGCTGATCTGCATCAGATGTTTCCCACACCTCCTTCGCTCGAGCAACACATTATGGGTTACTCTCCCATGAACATGTGCAGTAAAGACTACGGCAGCATGGAGACCAACCCAGGCATGACCACTTTAGACTGTCTTTCCTCTTTGGGACTTTTTAAGATTGAGGTGGAAGAGAGCTTCTGCAGCCCTAAGCCATCTGAGATCAAGGTAACTTCTTCCATCTGTTTGAATGTACAATAGAATCTTGTAAAGACAAATCCGAGTAATGTACCGGTACTCTGTGCAGGACTACTCATTTGTATTCAAGCCTCAGCTGTGCCAGGCTTTTGTAGGCTGCTCCTTGTTCGCTCCTCTGAAGACACTGCCCAGCCAATGTTTACCTCCCATCAAAGTCCCAGACGAGTGTGTTTACAGACCCAGCTGGACCATGGGCAGAGAGATGTCTGTCATGACTTTCATCAACAAAGACAGGTACCACTTTCAGTAAAACGTAGTGTCAATATTAGAAAGATGCTGTTTTGACTTTAGTTGAAATCTTGGCTTCATATGTCAAACTTTTAAGCCAGCAGTAAGTATTGAAACTGGTCCAGATCCATATCGAGAGGTGGTTCCATTTGGACCGCAGAGCCTGCTTCCATCACAATTCAAATAAAAATCAGCGCTGCACTGATTTCTCTTACATATCTTGGGATACAGCATTTATTTTGAACTGAATACAAGGCTGTCCCACAGAAGAACACATTGATGCTTGGTTATCTGAGATCTTAAATTAGAACACACTGCGAGCTGCAACCAGTGGCTCAGAGCAGCTTTAGTGAGTCAGACTCACACTAAATTCAACAAAACTCCTTCAGCGAGAATCCACCAACACTTCACTCCATGTCCTGTTGAAATAACATAATGTTTTATGAATTGAATGTTAGACAAATGTGTCCTTCTTATTGCCTATAGCTTTTGCCTTCTGGCCCTTTGCTGCAGGCGTGTGCATAGTAGGAGTCTTCACGCAGCGATCCTATTAGTGAACAGGGAAATGTTTCTTGTACAGTGAGGCTCCAGTGTCCAGAGCACAGGGAGATGTGGGCTTTAGCTTAAGGAACAACTGCATCCACTTGGTCACAAGCTGGGTTGACCCTATTTTGAGCAGAGGCTGAAGCGCTTCTATGCACTGCAAAAAAATTGCATATGGAGCTGCAAGTCAATTCAAGCACTTATTAATAATAATGCATCGGTTTTATATAGCGCTTTTTTGGACACTCAAAGACGCTTTACACGTCATTATTCTTTCACTCCATACACGGTGGTGATAAACTACTACTGTAGCCACAGCTGCCCTGGGGCACACTGACAGAAGCGAGGCAACCAGTATGTGCCATCGGCTCCTCCGATCACCACCAACCATTCACACACACACCAGACTCATTTTCGGCAATGGGGGTGAAGTGTCTTGCCTAAGGACACAACAGCAATTTGGCACTTTACAGCCGCAGCCGCCCTAATGTGGCACCTGGTGTTCCTAGAGGTTAAGAGTCTTGCCAAGGACACAACGACAGTAGTCAGTGGGATTCAATGGTGAAAGTCTTGAGTTGGGCTCGAACCTTCTGGTTCAAAGGCCAACGCTCTACCAACTGAGCTACCGTCGCCCCATTAAGACATCAAGAGACTATTGGTATGCACAGAATCAATATGATTCTAAAAGATCAAATGTTATAAATATCTAGTGCTTCATGGCGATAGATTGACCTTGGTACTGTATGATGTTGGATTCGGACCTTCAGAATCAAATCTCCTGCCAAAAAGAACCCCGGTTCTGAAGCGTCACTCTGGGAGATTATGTAGTCTGCATTTAAGTAACCTTGGCAAATACCCAGAAGCAGCATGTCTTTTGCAGCCTGGCCAGGCTCAGTTTGAGTGCTTCACTGGGACTTCCTTCTAATAGCCCTGTGTGAGGAGCTGTTCCCCACACACTGCCAGGGACATTATGTGCTCTCTCCACCTTTCTCCACCTCTTCTATATTTCCAGCCCACTTGCCCTGCTTCCCTCTCCCTCCAATGGTTGAACACGCAGTTGCCTGCCAACCCAAAAATAAATATAACCTCATCTTGAAACTATTGCTCTCCTTATTATGGTACTTCTTTGAGAATTTGTTGGCTTTATATATTGGGCTGTTGTTGACTAAATAAATCTTGATTGGTAAAGGGCATGTGTATCGATTTAGTCAACCAAAAGGAGCTGGCCTCGGGGAAAACCACAAGATTACATATAATCTAGAATATTTAAAATATTCATGAGGGGAAAAATACTTATGCAGATACAACTACTATCCCCCATATCTCAAAGAGTATTTATTCCTAAGTAAGTAAAAGAGTATTGCATCCACTGCAGTCAACATGACTCCTTTAAAATGGTCTACATCCATTTGATATAATTCAGTATTGGGTTTGGAATTGTATAAACAACTTTTATACTATTACATATTTAAAGTGTATAATATTGACCTTTTTCCTATCACAATGTTCCATTGGGTTTTTCAGTAATATCCCGAGTGTGGGAAGCATGATGGAGCAGGACTACAATCCTCAGACTCAAACTCCTTTCATGTCAAACAGTGCTCCTGCGAGTAATAGCGGGGCTGGCATCCTGCCATCACCAGCCACCCCTCGCTTCTCTGCACCCACCCCAAGAACACCACGCACTCCCAGGACCCCCCGCGGACCCCCCAGTGTCCAGGGCTCAATGAAATATGAGAACTTCGACCTGTACTCTCCAGCCTCCACGCCGTCCACCTGTCGCCCTCTGAACTCAGTGGAACCAGCGACAGTGCCTCCCATCCCTGAAGCCCACAGCCTATACGTCACACTCATACTATCCGAGTCGGTCATGAATCTTTTCAAAGACTGTAACTTTGATAGTTGCTGCATTTGTGCCTGTAACATGAATATCAAAGGAGCTGATGTTGGGGTCTATTTGAGTGACCCAAAAGGAGAGCCTCAGGAAACATGCACGTGTGGCTTCAGCGCCATAGTCAACAGGAGGTACGGCAACGATTCAGGCCTTTTTCTGGAGGATGAATTAGACATCATCGGGCGGGGGTCTGATGCTAGTCGAGAAGTAGAGAAGAGGTTTGAAGAGTTGCGGTTGTCGTCGCCTGAGGGATGTGGCATGGCGAGAGGAGAGCGTGTCCCGAACGAGCTGGTCAGCCTCGTGCAGGAGCTATGCACCAATCCTTTTTCACCCATCTCCATCCTGGAGGAAGACGTTGCCACGAGGAGCTTTACCAGGACGTCTTGTCAGAGAGTGGAGGAGAGGGACTACCGTGGAGACTGTTATATGGCCTTAGAACGTGGAAAGCAATTTATGGACAACATGTCAGGGGGCAAAGTGGATGAGGCACAAGTGAAGGGTACATGTCTGCACCACTGGGCCAAGCAAAATGGTAAGAAATTAATACAAACAATATAATTATTGATACAGGATAAAATAACAAGTGTTCTCTTTCCCTAGTTGTAGACGTGAACTCGTTATGCTCTCAGGATGTACTGAGGGTACTGATGTCGCTTCAGCCTGTTCTACAAGATGCCATTCAGAAGAAGAGGACAGTGCGGTCGTGGGGTGTCCAAGGCCCTCTCACCTGGCAGCAGTTTCACAAGATGGCTGGAAGAGGGTCCTATGGTACTAAATGCTCTAAAACTATTTGGTTCAATCACTAGTTTCCTCATGCAAACATTTTTGGCCTCTGTCACATGTTTCAATCAGCCTTTTAAAACTAAAGTGAAAAGAGTACATCCATCCATGCATTTTCTTCTGCTTCATCCGTTGCCGGATCGAGAAGGCAGCAGTCTAAGCAGAGACGCCCAGACTTCCCCTTTGAAATACATCTAGTAAAATGCACACCAACACACACTGTCAAAGTACAGTAAAGTTGACACTGCTTTGTCCAAACTCTAAAGGAAACCGTTTATCAGCCCTTCCCATTGTAATCCCCAGTGCAGTTGGTATTGAGTGATGGTTTAGTGGTGCCTCTTCTGACCTGCTCGTGCTCTTGTCTTTTGTCTTCTTTCTCCCACAGGCACTGACGAGTCCCCGGAGCCCTTGCCTGTCCCCACCTTCTTAGTGGGCTACGAGTACGACTTTGTGGTCTTGTCTCCATTCTGCCTGCCCTACTGGGAGAAGCTGTTACTGGACCCTTTTGGCTCCCAGCGGGACGTCGGGTACCTGGTGGTTTGTCCAGACAACGAGGCTCTGCTCACTGGTGCCAAAAGCTTTTTCAGAGATCTCACTGCTGTTTATGAGGTACAGTGTTCAAATCTAATATTCGTTCATTATTTAAGAATCATGCTCAGGGTATATTCAGTCCAATTATTAATGAGTTTTGCTTTCTCCTTCCTAGTCTTGCCGGCTGGGCCAGCACCGACCCATTTCAAAAGGTTACGCAGATGGAATTGTTGTTGTTGGTGGCACAGCAGCTAAGAATCTTTCGGACCAGCCAGTGAGCGACTGGTTTCTGAAGGGTTCCAGCAACAACAGTGATGCTTTTATCAGGCTTAAACTCTATGCACAAGTTTGTCGCCATGACCTAGGTATGTTACATTTCCATTCCTAATTCAATAAGGAGAAATATTATGCAAATCAACTTTTATGAGCTTGTTACAATATGGTCCTCTCTTCAAAAACAGACCTCGACTTGTTTTTAGATCCATCATGTCACTCCACCCCTTCTGTCTAAAAGCTCCTTTCTCCGTCCTGTAATAGTATGATGTCATTGTACCACCATACATTTGTTTTGGCAATTTCTCAAGTGAACTTCTTTACAATGACATGGCTGTGCTTGCAGCTGGTGATGTTCAACCCCTCCCTCTGGTGGCAGCATAGGCATAGCATTTGTTACCCTTCATAATTGTTTCATGATTTATTTTCTACTTATATTTTAGTTATTTTCTACTTATTTATTATTTCACATTATAAAATATGAAATGACAAAGTAAAAAGTATAACTATATTTTTGTACTGACCAAAATGAATGCATAATATTTCTTCTTTAAATTAAGTAAGTCAATAACTCTTACTATAAACTAAATAATGAATATTTTCACTTTTTTACAGCTCCATACCTTGCATCACAGTCTCTGGATGGGTCCCTCCTCACACAGCTTTCTCCTGCCTCATCTCAGACAGGATCCACACAACAGTCTAGCTCCTCCTCCAGCCAGCAGGGCCCTAATAACGGCAGCAGCAGCAGTGCACTAGGAAACAGCTCAGCATCATCAAACTCCCAGAATTCCTCAGGCCTGTCTGGCAATGGCACCACATCTGTCAAGCCAAGTTCCTATTCCCTTTTTGGGAGCATGGGTACTCAGGTCCAGGGAAGTGGTTCCCAGAGTGGACAGCTGGGACAGCAGGCTGGGGCTCAGAACACTGGCCCCTCTGGCGACAACTCCAGCAGCCAGAGTCAGGCATCCACTGAGCCTCCCGAAAGGTACGGCAACAGAAGTGCCTATAATCATTGTGTCTTTTGACTACTAATAAAGTTCTGAAAATGATGCAAGTAAACTGTAACCATAACATCAAAATTAAAGTCATATTTTCATTCCAGCACTTTGGAACGGGAAAAGGTTGGCGTTCCAACTGACGGGGAATCCCATGGCATCACATATCCCCCTGCCATTGTGGTTTACATTGTAGACCCTTTCAGTTATGAGGAGGCAGACAGTGGTACAGGCGCAGTGCCAGGTCACTCGAGTGTTTGGACTCTGGGCTTGCTCCGCTGCTATTTAGAAATGCTTGACTGCCTTCCCCCTCACATTCGCAATGCTGTTTCTGTTCAGGTGCGCACATTACACTTGAGTGCTACAAGATTGTTACATTATGACTGCTGTAAATACCCTAACCACCTTGTCGACATTATTATAACAAGCTGTAACTCTTCTTTCAGATTGTGCCCTGTCAGTATTTGCTACAGCCAGTTCTAAGTAAAGATCGTCATCTGTATGCCCAGCACCTCAAGTCTTTGGCCTTTAACGTGTTCGCCCAGTGCAGACGACCACTGCCCACCTCCACACATGTGAAGTCTCTGACCGGCTTTGGCCCTGGCTTAGCCATCGATACAGCCCTCAAGTCCTCAGAGGTAAACACTAAATCCTGCCAAGAGCTCTTCTTTTGATCTCAAGGATTGATCAGGGCAGGAAGTGACCCTTTTCTTGACACAAAGGAGTGTGTAGTGTTTTCTGATCAACAGAAAAGCCAAGTTCCTTAGTTCTGTCCGTAACAAGTCTGCTTCACCTGAGGCAGTCCAACCTTTACTTCATAATGAATAAATAGCAAAGAATATATTCATTTATGACAAATATACTATCAACTGGATGTTATTCTTAGTATAGTTAGCAGTACTGAATGAAAAACACTAATTGCGTTCCTCTGGTACCTTTTTGTTTTCCAAGTTTGTTTTTTACAAGACCTGTAGACCTAAATTAGAACAATCTTTCTCCTTCTGTGCTAGAACAAATGTATTGATGGCACCCATACTTTAACATTTCCTATGCTACATTATCATAGGTATATACAGTATATAGGGCGACACCATAGACTGTATATATTAATGGACAGAGTCACGCCTATCTCTGCCGTTCTAACTAATGGGCCAAAAAATGTGCTCTACTGGAGCAATCCAAAATGGCTGCGAGTGGTCCCACCCACAAGAAAATTGTGAAAAAACGCATCTGCGCATGCGTCAGCCAGCGCAACTCCATTCATTTGAACGAGAGACTTAAAAAAATCACAGCAAGTAAACTAGAGTGGACCAAAAAAATCCACCCCCCTCAGCATTGACACACATGTGGAATGGAGCTTTGGGCCAAGAGCCAACTTTTGGTCCATCCTGTAAAGACGTTTTTGAGAGGTCTGCCAATGCTATATGTTAGCATTGGCATTATTTTGGCCACTTTTGAGCTGGGACCCTCCCCCACTGGGCGACACAGTGGACACACAGTGTGGAGTTTGCATGTTCTCCCCATGTCTGCATAGGGTGCGTTGGTTTCCCCTTACACTAAAACCATTTACAATAGTTCAGGGAGAATGAGTGTGTTAGTGTTTGTGAGTGTCCCAAATAAATAAATGCTTAAAGCTGCAGTGTTGATAAAAGCTAATTATGTCTCTTCAATCACACAGAGGCCAGAGTGCATACGCCTTTACACCCCTCCCTTCATCTTAGCACCAGTGAAGGACAAGCAGACGGAGCTCGGGGAAACCTTTGGTGAAGCATCACAGAAGTATAACATCCTGTTTGTGGGATACTGTCTGTCACATGACCAGCGCTGGCTCCTGGCTACATGCACAGACCTCTACGGGGAACTCCTGGAGACCTGCACCATAAACATTGATGTACCCAATAGGTATGTTCCCAAAGAGAGTAACTAAGGCACTTTAATGTTAACATGTTTGTCAACACAATGCGCAAGAAGTACTTATTTTCACAAACTAACCACAACATTATGAGCATTTTTTCAAAGGAGATTCATTATTGAAATGTTATATTATGTTATACTATATATATTTTTAGGGCACGGAGGAAAAAGGGCTCAGTCAGGAGATTGGGTCTACAGAAGCTTTGGGACTGGTGCTTGGGTCTTGTGCAGATGACGTCAGTGCCGTGGAGAGTGGTGATTGGACGACTGGGCAGGATAGGACACGGCGAGTTAAAAGGTGAGGATTAGAGCATCTTTTGTATATGTTCTGTTTGAAATGTTGCATCTCTCACATCCTCATGTTACAGACTGGAGCATTCTGCTGAGTCGGAGGAACCTCCAGTCCTTGAGCCGCCGATTAAAAGAAATGTGCCGAATGTGTGGTATCTCTGCCTCAGATACTCCCAGCATTCTCAGTGTGTGTCTTGTCGCTATGGAGCCACAAGGATCATTTATTATCATGCCAGGTATAATCATAGCACTTTTTATCGTACGTTTTGTTAGAAAATAACTAGTTATTCCTTTGTCTGGCAGTATGGTACTTTTTTTTTTTTTTGCACTGAGCCAAAGCAATTTCCTAGTCTGTGACCTCCTGTTACTTACGTGGCAATAAAAATGATTCTGATTCTGACTTTATTATTTACTTAGTGAGCCATATTCAAAAATACATGTTGTTTGGTCAGAAGAAGTCTTGTTTTAGTAACGAATAAGACCACAAAAGGCTATCTTTATCTTACTAAAAAACATTTCATCTTTTACATATATTACATTTTACAATACTTTTTTTTTGTTGCGTAAAAGTTAAAGTGCTCCAGTTTTAAGCCCTCAATCAAGTGCCACAAATATGTGGCTATATGGCTGTGCTGTCATTATCTTTTTCTCTGCCTGGATATGTGCGTGATACATGGCTCTAGGCAGGCACATTGATTTTTTTGTTTGTAATGGAATTCCAGATCAATAGGTTTAAATTGTCTGTACAGGGTTAAGAGGAACTATTCTATAACTTGCCAACATGTCTCCCTATATGTACAGTATATCTATAATTAGGTATATTTTATCTCTTAGACTCTGTTTCAACGGGTTCAGTGTTTGGTCGAAGCACAACTCTGAATATGCAGCTCAACACACCCCAGGACACCTCCTGCACTCATATCCTCGTCTTCCCGACCTCTGCCTCGGTTCAACTGGCCAACACAAACTACACCAACATTGACCCCAACCTGGATATCCTCAATGCCACCAATGGTCAGTACTACCAAGACAACAAACACACTAATGCATTATTCATACCTAACGAACATTACAGCTAAAATGCTTTTTCTTTACAGATGGTTCTGATGCTATTGGAATATTTGACCTGATAGAACAAGAAACTGACTTGGTTGATCCAGACATTATAATCTCCCCAACCAACTCCCCAGTCCACTCCCCGGGGGGATCTCATTACCATCACGGTGGAGACGGTAGTAAGGTAAGAATTCCCTTGCTAGAACAGTAGAAAAAGAACAGGTACATTTGAAATGGTGGCCTTTTTCATGTTTAGCAAAAAAAAAATACTAATATTGAATGTGTTATTGTTCTAGGGCCAAAGCACAGATCGTATGGAGACACATGAAGAGGTCCCTTTCCTCCTACAACAGCCACTGGCCCTTGGATATTTTGTATCAACAGCCAAAGCTGGGCCACTACCTGATTGGTTCTGGTCAGCCTGTCCACAAGCTCAAAACCAATGTCCACTCTTCCTTAAGGTACCTAAGTCAACCATTAGCTTTGCATAATGTATCATACATTCATATCATAATGTGAAACAAGTGTTTGACTGTTACATCTGTCTCTAGGCCTCGTTGCACCTCCACGTGTCTTCAGTGCAATCAGATGAACTACTACACAGTAAACACTCCCACCCCCTTGACTCCAATCAGACCTCAGATGTACTCAGGTAACTCAGGTTTCTTTATAATTACAATTACCATTCCGTGAATGTGTTCATTTATATGGAATGATGTTGTTTGTACAGATTTGTTCTGGAACAGTACAACGCCCTCTCCTGGCTGACATGTGATCCAGCAACACAGGACCGGCGTTCGTGTTTACCCGTTCACTTTGTGGTGCTCAATCAGATGTACAACTTCATCATGAACATGTTATAACTGGGAGCCTGTTCTACGACTCGACAGTTTCTAAAAACCAAGTTAATGTGCAAGAAGCAGCTGCTGCGTAGAGCTGTGTCCTGAGACTGGACAAGACAGCTGACAAGGTTTCAATGTTTCTGAGGAACATGGGAAAAGGAACCAAGTGTAAGAGAATAAAAGGAAGTGTGACAGCGCCGCTGTCACTGGCCAGTTTGTTTCCAGAGGAAATATCAGTAATTGTAAAGACATTTAAATAAAGGGGACCTTTTATCATGGAAGAAATTCAAGAAAGGATTATGAATTTTTGAGACCTTGAATTGATTTTATTATTTTGGATAGAGTAGTATCCAAATGAAATGCCTGCATATTATCCTATTTATTGTAAGTTTTCAAATGTATGATTTGTGGTATTTCTGAACATTTTATATAATATGGAAGGTCTTTTTATCTTCCTGCTTTAAAGCAATTGGTCAAAGATATACAATTGTCTTAAATAAAACTATAAAGGAAAAAAGAATAACAAATGAACAAAGTCCCAGTAGGTTGCTTGTAGAGAATTATTTTTGTAATGAGACAAAGTATTTGTATTGTTAAAATGTACAGAGGACTTGGAGAAATATGTTTCATGCTATGGAGCGTGAAGGACTTGCAGCAAAGCTGTAGCTACAGAGGACTTGTGCAGCAATGAACTTCACTGTGTTCAAATAAATGAGGTACATTGTTGTCTATAGTATTTTATACACATTTAGACACAAACACCAAACTGCAATATATAAATATATAAATTCTATAAATAATTATATGAAAGCCATACCAACAGTTGATGGTTTGGTCTGTTTTAGGAATAAAGTGCATCAACTTAAATCTGGTGGTTGTGTATTGTTTTGGGCGGGGTGAACTTTTTTAAAAATCTTTTTATAAACGCTACACTTATAGCGGTGCTGCTCGTTATACCCGAATAACAATGTCTAAATTCACACAGGGGTGCACACATTAACAATATTGAAAAATGTTTAACGAATGATCCGTAAACAAAGTATAGATCAAACTAATATCAACATACACTGATTGAACCATGCATCAGAATTACATACGTCACCAAAAATACACAAACATTTGTCCCCAACAGTGCCTAGACTCATGCTCACAGTAAAGCTCGTATAATACAGTCTGCTCGTAAGTAGTGACTTCTGGATAGTGAGAGAGTGAGTGTCCAAAAAGCAGGAGCAGTGTCTCTGTACGTCTGTCTGAACATCTCCACACTCACAGCAGGTTAGGACAAAGATCATTATGAGCAGTCGGACGTGATGCTTTCATAAGAATCTCACTCTGACTCCGTCACTCCCCACGGGGAGAACTGCACAACCACGTCCCGGGGTCTGGAGGCCTTTATGCGCAAACTTTCCACAAAGGCTTTAGGGACACTGCGATAAACCGGTAAGGAGTATTATAGCAACGTAACTTCGTCATGTATAACACAGGAGAGTAAGATACAACACACGCGGGTGCTACTCGGCCATGTAGCTTAGCATCGGGTACCATTAGCACTGTTAGCTAGCGTTAGCTTATGGCTTCATGATGAATGACAACAATGATCATAAGCAGCGCTGAAAAGTGCCCCTAAGTTACATTTTAACACAGCAGCACACACACGCACTGTTAATTTTATGTACTTTCTGGCAAATATTAATGTTCTATTATTTTTCTTCTATAAAAAAAAACATGAACTGTTTTTATAGCTGTCAATGAGTGTAAATTAGCTTGTGTGGTGCTAAAACTGGACATTTAGCTCTTCCACGTGCTTTTATAACCTCTTAAAATGTGTGTAACATTGTCAGCTTTGAAGATGGGTTCATGCATGTATTGATGTGTTTCTCAGAGATGGGAGACAGTGCTGGTCTGCAGTTTGTGAGCTCCTTCGCCTTCGAGGCCATGCAGAAGGTGGATGTTGTGCGCTTAGCAGCTTTGAGTGACCCTGAGCTGAGGCTGCTGCTGCCCTGCCTGGTGAGGATGGCTCTGTGTGCCCCGGCAGACCAGAGCCAAACCTGGGCACAGGACAAGAAGCTCATCCTCCGCCTGCTCTCGGGAGTGGAGGCTGTAAACTCTATAGTTGCCTTGCTCTCTGTTGACTTCCATGCGTTGGAACAGGATGCCCGGAAGGAGCAACAACTGAGGTGAATAAAAACATAGTCACTGTGTTATAAGATGAGATAAGATCTCACACTGGAGAAATTTACTTGTCACATTTGGCATAGAGAGAATCACTCAGCTTGTGCAAAAGACGGAAAATGTGCAAACATGTTAAAGGCAAAACATACATGCTGTTCAGGAACGATTATGTACAACAAAAAGTGGCAATTAAAGAAACAGTGGTAATAGCAGTGCAAGTTTTTCAGTCCTAGTGCATTAGTGTAGTATTTTGTGAGATATATTAATTGATTATGTTGATGTTGGTTCTAATGATGATTATTCCTGCTGTTCTGTGTTGCAACACTGAGATGTCCTTTCTGAGAAATATTTTCTCATTATCTGTGATGTTGTTTAGACATAAAGCTGGTGGCTCCAATGGGGAAAGCATACTGGTATCACAACTACAACATGGTCTAACCCTTGAGTTCGAGCATAGTGATCCACTGAGAAGACTCCGACTGGCCCTAAGTGAACTTTTGGCCATCATGAATAAGGTACAATTGTCTTTTTCCTTGTTACAAAATGCTTCTATATAACATTAGGCTGATATCAGAATCAGAATCAGAATCATTTTTATTGCCACGTAAGTAACAGGAGGTCACAGACTAGGAAATTGCTTTGGCTCAGTGCAACAGTCAAAAAGAGATAATAAAAATAAGAATAAAAAACACTTCTAAAGAATACATTTAAATTTAAAATAGAGTTACAGTTACTATTTACAATATACAAGTGCACATGGTGCACACAATGTAAGGTGACAGCAGTACAGTGAAGTAAAGTGACGTATGATGGGCAGTAAAGTGACTTTATAAAGGGCGGGGGGACAGGTTAAGAAGTGTTCAAGAGTCCAACAGCAGAGGGGAAGAAACTGTTCTTGTGGCGGGAGGTTCTAGTCCTGATGGACCGCAGCCTCCTGCCTGAGGGGAGTGGTTGGAATAGTCCATGTGCAGGGTGAGAGGGGTCGGCTGTGATACACCCAGCCCGGCCTCGAGCTCGGGCGACGTACAGGTCCTGCAGCGATCAATCAAGCTTGGAGACAATTCTATGAATAATACTATTCATAGAATTATTCTTGTTATTATTCTATAAATAATAACATTGCAGAGTGATGTTAATGCCTTGTCTGTTTGTTTCTTGTTTTCTCACGACTGTCTACATTTACAGTGTATACAGCAGCCAGAAGCATGCTATGTCTTCTTTAAAGGTGCACTAACTGACTTTATTTTTGTGTTCATTACAAAAATTCAATCCATATACATGTAGTGCATTAGGGTATACGTCCTTTTGAAGAAAAAGTAGTGCAGGTTTGTGCTGGCGTGTCATTTAATTTTATATTGAGTTTTGGTGAAACAAGGAAGAGAATGGGTTTCGGATCCCGATTGTGACCAATCACAGCGGACCACTGGCCCCCGCTTTCTTGAGAAAAGCTACAGGTCCGTGGTTAGCGCAGACAGTTGAGGTAAACAAGCGGCGGAGGCTAACCTGAAACTCCCCGTGTCTTCGTTGCCGGTTACTGCTTACACAGCGAAACAGCCATCCAAAAGAAAGTCTCGTCCCCCTATCATTCTATGGTCACGCCATGCACGTGCAAATGTGATCCATGTTGTGAGACGGGAGCTCTGTATACAATTAGCTAGCATGAGCGCAGGCTGAGGGGGGGGAAGGGGGTAGTGGGAGGTGAAAGTTCTGTGGGTCCGGGGAGGGCGAGCAGAGGGAGCGAGGCCATTGCTCCCATTCGAACATTTGTCAAAGTCAGTTAGTGCAGCTTTAAGTGGCATTTTTAAAAGATAAATATTTTGCTTTTATTTCAAGGAAAAGAGTATATGCTAATCTGATCCCAATAACAAGTGTGACATAAACACGTCTGTGTGTCTGTGTTTGTCCGTAAATAAATTCAGCTAAAAGGTTTTAGGTTTCTAATCTAGTAAACGGGAAAATACAATGGGAAATATTCTAAGTGGACAGGTTTGTCAAAAAAACAAAAAGACGTAAGAACAACTGTTTGCCAATTTTTTTACATTTATGCTTAGATATTTGTTTCCTCAATGTTGGTTTAAAGGAATTAGCAGCACATGAGCTTTCTGTACCACTTCTGACGCTTCTTCTCCAACTTGAGCTTTGCGGCCAACCACTTCTTCTCCAGCAGGGAGCGCTCTTCTTCGCTGTCCATGAGTTTCTTGGTCAAAGCACCAGACTTTACCTCCAACAGAGAGCGGTCCTCTTCTGTTTTCAGCAGTTTTTGGGTTAAAGTACCGGCCTTAACCTCCAACAGAGAGCAGTCCTCTTCTGTTTCCTTTAGCTTTTGGGACAAAGCACTAGACTTTACCTCCAGCAGAGAACACTATTGCTGTACTGTGCTCTGTCCCGTTTTGAGATCTTCACATTGTCTCAAAATGGCGTCCTTCTCTTCCTTCTCTCGCCCCAGCTCTTGCTTCAAGTCCTTTAGTGACTCGTTCAGGAAACTGTTGGCGGCGGCTTTTGTTCGGAGTCGCCTCTGAACCTCTTGCAGCCGCAGGTTCAGCACGACTTTCCGGTCTCTGGACTTGAGGATGGCGTCTCTCATCATGTCCAGCTCCATGTTTATATACTGGATTTGCTGCTGCATTAGGGTCTTGTCCTGAGACTCTGAACTGGCCAAGCTCTGCCAGTTCTTGTTTGAGGTTTCCTAAAGAAACTTCAAATTGAGCATTCTTCTGAAGCAGCTGTGTGTTTTCTGCCTCAGTCTTTTTGAGTTGTGACTTTGCTTCCTCTGTTTTGAAGGCAGAGGAATTGTCTTTCCAAGCGCCATTCTTGGGTTTGCTGCAGAGAACTGTCTTTCATTTTCTCTGTCAAGTCTGTGAGTCCAGTGACCTGGCTTGTCAGACTAACTACTTCCAGAGTCCTTGACTGGATCTGTGTCTTTAGTTCCATGGACTCATTGAGCAGTGAGGTGTTCTCTTCTCTCACTCGTCTCAGTTCGTCCTCCACGTCCTGCTTTGCCTTGACTTTCTGGTTGAGTTGGATCTTGTGGGCACAGATAATCTGCTTTGTTCTGTTCAGCAAATCAAACTTCACGTCCTCGAGCTCTTTCTTAAACTCTTCAATGCTCATTTGATGCACAACTTTCTGGGCAAGAATAGAGTCGTCCTCAGGGCACTTCAGCGCATCCTCAGACGTTCTCCTCAGTCGGCGTTCATCGACCACTTGTAGTTGGTCAATTTCACGCAGCAACTTTTTAGTTGTGGGCAACTTCTGACAGTGCCGTCGCTCCAGCTGTTCAGCAGTTGTAAAGCCTGGGACCAGTTTCACAGTTGGTTCGCAGAGTCCATCCACCTCTTCAGGTGGTTCAGAGGGACGGACTCCTTCAGGCGTTTCACTCAGCACTTCCATGAGGTTGAAGACCTCAGTGTAAAGTGCTGCGTCTTCCTCCGGAGAGTATTCGTGCCAGTGTCTGTACATTCTGATCAACTGCTTGTATTGCTGCTTTATTCAAAAACTGCAATGGGCTCTAGTTGTCAAATGATTCCTGGGCCAGAGGGCTCCGGGTTCTTCCACACAAACTTTTGAAAGTTCTAGAACCTGTGCATGTCATCGGAGGGGCAAAAAAGTATTTAGTCAGCCACCGATTGTGCAAGTTCTCCCACTTAAAATAATGACAGAGGTTTGTTAATTTCATCATAGGTACACATCAACTGTGAGAGACATAATGTGGAAAAAAAATCCAGGAATTCACATTGTAGGATTTTAAAAGAATTTATTTGTAAATTATGGTGGGAAATCATTATTTGGTCACTTCAAACAAGGATGATCTCTATTTCTCACAGACCTGTAACTTCTTCTTTAAGAAGCTCTTCTGTCTTCCACTCGTTACCTGTATTAATGGCACCTGTTTGAACTCGTTATCTGTATAAAAGACACCTGTCCACAGCCTCAAAAAGTCCAACTCCAAACTCCACTATGGCCAAGACCAAAGAGCTGTCGAAGGACACCAGGAAAAGAATTGTAGACCTGCACCAGACTGGGAAGAGTGAATCTCCAATAGGCAAGCAGCTTGGTGTGAACAAATCAACTGTGGGAGCAATTATCAGAAAATGGAAGACATACAAGACCACTGATAATCTTCCTCGATCTGGGGCTCCACGCAAGCTCTAATTCCGTGGGGTCAAAATGATCATGAGAACGGTGATCAAAAATCCCAGAACTACACGGGGGACCTGTTGAATGACCTGCAGAGAGCTGAGACCAAAGTAACAAAGGTTACCATCAGTAACGCACTACGACGACAGGGAATCAAATCCTGCAGTGCCAGACGTGTCCCCCTGCTGAAGCCAGTGCATGTCAAGGCCCGTCTGAAGTTTGCCAGAGAGCACATGGATGATACAGCAGAGGATTGGGAGAATGTCATGTGGTCAGATGAAACCAAAGTAGAACTGTTTAGTATAAACTCAACTCGTTGTGTTTGGAGGAAGAAGAATACTGAGTTGCATCCCAAGAACACCATACCTACTGTGAAGCATGGGGGTGGAAACATCATGCTTTGGGGCTGTTTTTCTGCTAAGGGGACAGGACGACTGATCCGTGTTAAGGAAAGAATGAATGGGGCCATGTATCGTGAGATTTTGAGCCAAAACCTCCTTCCATCAGTGAGAGCTTTGAAGATGAAACGTGGCTGGGTCTTCCAGCATGACAATGATCCCAAACACATCGCCCGGACAACGAAGAAGTGGCTCCGCAAGAAGCATTTGAAAGTCCTGGAGTGGCCTAGCCAGTCTCCAGACCTCAACCCCATTGAAAATCTGTGGAGGGCGTTGAAAGTCCGTGTTGCTCGGCGACAGCCCCAAAACATCACTGTTCTCGAAGATCTGCATGGAGGAATGTGCCAAAATACCAGCTGTGTGTGCAAACCTGGTATAGACCTAATAGTAATCGTTTGACCTCTGTTATTGCCAACAAAGGTTATATTACAAAGTAATGAGTTGAATTTTTGTTATTGACCAAATAATTATTTCCCACCATAATTTACAAATAAATTCTTTAAAAATCCTACAATGTGAATTCTTGATTTTTTTTTTTTTCACATTCTGTCCATCACAGTGTACCTATGATGAAAATTACAGACCTCTGTGCAGGTTCTCCCACTTAAAATAATGACAATCGGTGGCTAACTAAATACTTTTTTGCCACACTGTATGAAGATTAGAAATATGAACATTTTCTGAAAATATACTTTTGAAAAGTGTTAAACTTAAAAAAAAAAAAGTGAAATCAAGGCAAATAAGCTCAAGGCTGCAATCTGAAGAGGTGTGTTCAATAACACTGTCCCAAGCAAATAAACAATAAAATGAATGAATACAAATAGAAAACAAAACAAAGAGCTGCAGTCAGCATAAAGCAATAAAAACAGTCAAAAACTGTCAAAAACTGTCAGTGGGGGTCAATTTTTAGGAAAACGCCTAATAAGGAACGGAAGAAATGCGTTAGCATTAGCCTGCGTAGCATCTGCCAGTACTTTTTTTAAAGTCAGAACTTTTTATTATTTACAGCTCAACAAATCACCAAAATGGCAATAAAGGGTCTACTTTCTCACCTCAAAAGTATTGAAAAGTAAAATTTTTGTTCTATTTATTGTATTATTGATCAGTACTGTCATTTTGGACGTGGTTCTGTTCCCAGAGTGACTCCACTGTCTTCACTTTAACAGCAGGTTCATCCTCCTCATTGTTTAAAAAAATGGACTCATTCAAACTCTACACAGCGTACGCTGCATTGAAAATAGTTTTCACTCAAAATAAGAGTGTCGCCCATTCTTTTTAATAGGAGAAAAATACTGTCCGGCCTCTGCCGTGGTTGCAACCCAACAAGAATCCTCTTTTCTGTTTCCCTAAAGGTGGTCGACTCAAATGGAGAGTTTTTCTTGAAGCCCTCAGAACTGTTTGAAAGCCCTGTTTACTTGGAGGAAGTCGCAGATGTTCTTTGTATTCTTCAAGCAGGTATAGTATAGTTATTATGTGCCCTATGTGATGACCGTGCCACTACAGAATAAACCATATGTGACTGTTCTGTTTGTAGAACTCCCATCATTACTTCCAATAGTGGATGTGGCTGAGGCTTTGCTACATGTTCGTAATGGTGACTGGTTTCTGTGTCTGCTGGTGGCTAATGTTCCTGACAGTTTCAATGAAGGTGCAGTTTGACTTGTATAGTTTGTACAAATAGTGTTTATTGTTATTGGGACTCAACAGGACAAACTATTTAATATGTCCTTTTGTTTTGTTCAATCGTTTATTTTCTTAGTTTGTAGAGGTCTAATAAAACATGGTGAACGTCAGGATGAGGAGAGTGTTGGAGGCCGCCGTCGAACAGAAGCGCTGAGGCAACTCTGTCAAATGAATCCTTCACAAGCCCTCAACATCCGAGCCATGGTGGTCAGTTACCAGCAAGTCTGTAACAACATGAAATATAGGGGATCAGATGTCTAAAGAAACGACTTTTTTAACTATGACTATTTCACTTCCACGTACAGTTATATCCTTTTTTCAATTCTGTGTTAATGATATCAAATTGGTTGATCCTTAGGTGGAGGAGTGTCATTTACCCGGTCTTGGTGTGGCACTGACTTTAGATTACAAACCTGATGCAGCAGATGATGCGGTCAGTCCTCTTGTATCTTATGTCAGTGGTCTACTTTTGGGAACCAATGGAAAAGTCCGCACTTGGTTTAGCATGTTTATACGCAATGGACAGCAGGTATGTGCCTCATTTAAAATACATATGTTGTTTTAAGTTTTATAATATTGTAAAGGCCTTTTTCCCAATGCCCTGCAGCGTAAAAGGGAAACTAGCTCGGTGTTGTGGCAGATGCGGCGTCAGTTGCTGCTGGAGCTGGTTGCCATCCTGCCTCGCTCTCGCAGCACACATGTTCCTAATGATAGAGACATGGAGGAGAGTGGCAGCTCTGGGCTCAGAGAGGAGCATGTGGTGAAGGCCAGTGCTCTGCTGCGGCTTTACTGTGCTCTCATGGGAATAGCAGGCCTCAGGTGAGTGTACGACCCCATCAATATTCTTTAAACTGAATATTTTAATTTTCACTAAATAAGTACTAACAGAATTCTAACTGGTACAGACCAACGGATGAAGAGTCTGAGCAACTGCTGCAGCTGATGACCAGCCGCCCTCCAGCCACACCTGCAGGAGTTCGCTTTGTTTCCCTCTCATTCTGTAAGCTGCTTGCTTTCCCCACTCTGGTCAGGTACAAAGTATTATGTTTTGTTTGTGTTTCAACACATTTTCAAAGTTCTAAAATGATTCTAACATGTTATTTTTAATGGTCATGTTTAGCACGCCTGAACAGGAACAGCTCATGGTTATGTGGCTCAGTTGGATGATCAAAGAAGAGGAGTACTTTGAAAGGTAAAATCCACTCTTTAGTGAATATGCAATTGGAAATGAAGCTCAAGTTATTCTTTAAATGCATCAGAATTGTGTTATATGACAAGTCTGACTTTGGCTGTGTCCTCATCCACAGTGCCGCAGGCGTGTCTGCTTCTTTTGGAGAGATGCTTTTACTGGTTGCCATGTATTTCCATAGCAACCAACTCAGCTCTATTATAGAATTGGTGTGCTCCACTTTGGGGATGAAGGTGAGATTGAAGTGAAGCAGTAATCAATACTATGTTCCAACCGATAGTTACAGTAGCCAAACTCACTCATTAGAAAATATGCCTTAACCATGGTGTGATTCCATAGCCTATTTTATTTTGTTATTCATCGTTGACAATAAGCCTTTAATTGAAGTCCCTTTTTACATGTTTCCCACAGCTAAGTGGTACCCCTACTCATGTCCAACTTTGCATCCTGTCAAGCAGATCTTAATTCAATGTTTCTTGTTTTTTCTATTTATTCAGATTGCCATCAAACCCAGTTCTCTAAGTAAAATGAAGACTATTTTCACACAGGAGATTTTTACAGAACAGGTATATTTTTGAATCTATTCTTTTAGAAACTTCTGTTTTAGGTCTTTTCAATAATACAACTTATATTGTCTCTATAGGTTGTCACGGCCCATGCTGTTCGGGTGGCAGTGACCAATAACTTAAGTGCCAACATCACAGGGTTCTTGCCAATCCACTGCATCTACCAGCTTCTTCGGAGCCGTGCCTTCACTAAGCACAAAGTTTCCATAAAAGTGGGTCAGACAAGACGACAATAATATCTTATCTTTGTTAACAATAGCAAGTCTGATCTGTTCTTTTTTGCCTTTTTTAGGACTGGATTTATCGGCAACTCTGCGAGACCACCACTCCCATACACACACAACTGATCCCACTTATTGATGCTTATGTGAACTCCATCCTCACTCCAGCATCCAAGGCCAATCCAGAGGCCACCAATCAACCAATCACAGAGCAGGAGATTCTTAATGTGTTTCAAAACTCTGCAGGGGTATGTCAACAAATAACACGTCATCAAAGTAATATAGTTAACGTAATATATATCTTTTCTTGCATTAGTACACCGATGGCAGCAGAGGGGCAGGACGCTCTTGTTACTCCATCACAACCCAACTTCTTGTTCTGTATTACATCTTGTCATATGAGGAGAACCTGTTGGCCAGCACAAAGCAATTAGGTAATTGAATAACGTGCCCTTTTCCTCTGGTGTAATAAACGTCGTTGAAATAGCGGCTGGTGATTGGCTAAGGTTGGATTGAACATTAGCAGTTGGCCTAATCAGCGTTTTAATTTTTACCCCACGATGAGCTCTTCTGCTGCCCTTCATTAAGCTAGATTTATTTGAGACTTGCTATGCTAGTCCTTTTAATTACTCTGTTTACCCAAGTGCTCCGGTCTCAAGCCAGGGAAGAAATAAAATGACACGACCAGTTGAGGCAATCATCATGTGATCTAATGTTTTCAGCCGCTATGCAGCGAAAACCAAAGTCCTATTCGGCTTCCCTTATGGACCAAATTCCCATCAAGTACCTGGTGACCCAAGCTCAGGGGCTGCAGCAAGAACTTGGGGGTAAAGTATCCTTTCCGTTTTATGATGATAATAAATATTGTTGTATTTAATTTGTATTTAATTTGTTGTTCTGCTTCAATAGGACTCCATTCAGCCCTTTTGCGATTGCTGGCGACAAACTATCCTCACCTCTGTTTGGTGGAGGACTGGGTTTGTGAGGAGGAGGTGACCGGGACCCTGCCACTATTGAGGAAGATGATGCTGCCTAGCAACACTTGTCGATACACGCAGAGTCAGCTACACCAGGGTGAGAGGGAAACATCAGATCACTCATCATTATCTCCACATATCACAGAATCAACCAAGAAAATGGGGAGTGGCTTGGTAGCCGTGGTCAGAGGAGTGAAGGAGTACAGTGGTCTGTTGTGCATAGAAAAATATAGAATTACTCAAACATGCAAGAATTGTTCTTAAAACAGCTTTGAGTGTGGAAAGGACCATGGAAACTGCTTTAACATGGTCTAAAGCTGTGTAGATTTTGCATGGTTTGTCTCTTTTTTTCAAATAAAAAGTGATGTATGCTTAAGTGACACCAAACCTATATCTTACAATGTTGTTTAAATGCAAAACAACAAGTTAATGTTTAAAGAAAATAAAGGCAAATAAACGTCTCTTTTTGCGGCAGCTTTCCAAAAGTTACCCTCAAGCAGTCCGAGGTTAATGCGCATCTTGGAACATCTCACCCTGTTGCCTCCTGCTGACCTCATCCCATATGCGGAGACCCTCACCACCAGTATGGCTTTGCTGCTGGATCCAGTTGTCCCACGGAGAATTGTGCAAACTCTGAATAAGCTGTGGATGGCTCTGAATACGGTGATGCCACGAAGGTATGCTGCCATTTTTAGGTAGTAGTAAACTACTGATCCAATATACTGTATAATGTAATAAATGCATATTTAGGCCAAACTTGGCTCAGTTTTTTTTTTTCTTGAATGATCTCATGATTCTTGTTTCAAGATTGAAAACATTGAGCTTGTGATTTTTTTAAAGTTGTATTTAACTATTAATTCACCATATTCACAGGGCCCCAAGCCTTTCACCTACTTTGATTGTAGCGCTCGGTTCTCTACATCTTTTACATCTTGATGTATGTTGTGCATCAAGATACACTTGTTGGACGCCCTAAGTCCTAATCTGACTTATCTGATTTTATTTTCTTCATAGCAGTTGTCCAAAAATGCACCACACGTTTAATTTCCAATGGTGACAACACATTTTTAAAAAGAAAATACGGTTTGCAGTGCTACACTTAACTAAAATAATTGTTTGAATGCCACTCAGTGAATATGGAGTTTGTTTAGGCTCCCTTGACCTGAATGTTTGTCGCACGAGCATGTGAAGATGTAATTAAAACCTGGTTAATGAATGTGACACAAGACCCATTTAGTCTTGCTTTCTTTTGTTCAGATGTAAGTGCGTTGTGTGTTGCAGGTTGTGGGTCATGACCGTGAACGCTCTCCAGCATTCTGCCAAACTCCTGCGGCAGCAGAGGTACACCCAGAATGACCTGATGGTGGACCCTCTCATTGTTCTCCGCTGTGACCAGAGAGTCTTTAGGTATCAGTGTGGTGTCTCTTGTATATTTGACCTATTGTTTGTACAGATTTACAATTGTTTTGTGGTCGTAGGTGCCCTCCCTTTATGGATATTGTTCTTCACATGTTGAATGGTTACTTGTTGGCTTCCAAAGCATATCTCCATTGCCACCTAAAGGAGACGGCTGACTTTGACAGACAGAGCCTGACTGTGTCGAGCCTGGGGGTGAATGGACAGCCAGATACACCTGAGGTCACACGAGAGGAGCTCAAGAATGCCCTTCTGGCCGCTCAGGTATTTTTCACTCATTGACCTTTTCAGTCACAACAAGTTTTAACATGTGTTTTGATTGCAGGACAGTGCTGCCGTCCAGATTCTTCTGGAAGTGTGTTTACCAAACACAGAGGAGCAACAGCTGGCAGGAAGCACAGAGAGCCTCCTGAAAACTATCAGGGACACTCAGCCTGGGAAACACAAAGAGGAAAACCCTGGAACAAATATGGAGAGAGCGACAGACGCAGGCCTGTTCAGTGACCTGAGGGAAGTGCAGTGCCTCATCTGCTGCCTACTCCATCAAATGTTTATTGCTGATCCCAACATAGCCAAGCTCGTTCATTTTCAGGTAATTGATTACATTTAGTTTGAATAGTTTAACAGACATGAAATTATTTTTATCAAAAAAGATTCTGAGCCTAAGTGAATTCTTCCATCAGGGTTACCCTCAAGCTCTGCTGCCTCTGACTGTGGCCGGTATCCCCTCCATTCATATCTGTCTGGACTTTATCCCAGAGCTCCTGGCACAACCACAGCTGGAGAAGCAGGTTAGGCCTCTGTCTTTAACTGCTTTTAGCACTTTATCCAGGTCTCTGAAGAAAACGGAACTTGAATAAAGCGTTTACCAGTGTTTTTGGAAATCTTGTATTTAGGGCCGGGACTTTAACGCGTTAATTAAGATGAATTAATTACACAAAAATTAGCGTGTTAAAAAAATTTACGCATTTTAATTGTATCTATTTTTGCACCGCGTAACGTTCCTCACTGGATGAGTTTCAGACGGACCGATTGTACTGGAGCACCAATTGGAGCTCCATGACTTTTTTTTGTTCAAAAGTACATTATTACAAGCATAGACCAACTTTAGCTGTGTCTAAATCCCAGTGAGTTAGAGACGGGAATGAGCGCTTCTGTGTGTGAGGAGGAGGAGCAGCGACTCCTGTGAGTGGAGGAGGAGAAGGAGGAGCAGGAGGAGCGAGACACAGGTGTGTGAGCTGCTATTGCTGATGTTTAGTCCAAATGTACGCATCAAAAACGTATTATAAAAGCTTTAGCAAACAGCGCATGCCCAACTTTTTGCCCAGAGGATTTTGGGCATAAAAAGCGTACGTTGTTGAGTGTGTGGAGGAGGAGGAGGAGCATATGTTGTGGTCAGAGAGTGTGAGGCAGTGACAGATACGTTATTTAATGGAAAAGAAGTCCGTCTGATCCCCTTATCATCCACAATGAACATGTGTTGCTTTTGTATTCAGTCATTATTCAATGGTAAACTTAAAATCCATGTGAAAAAAAATTCTCACTGTTCTCAGGTCAAATATTTATTTGCAATTAAAATGTGATTAATTAATTGCAAATCCCCAAATAATTAGATTAAAAAAATGAATCGAGTCCCAGCCCTACTTGTGTTATATAATGATTAATGTCTTTATTTTTCTGCAGATCTTTGCCATCCAGTTGCTTTCACATCTGTGTACACAATATGCCCTTCCCAAGTCGCTCAGTGTGGCCCGTTTGGCCATTAGTGTAATGGGGACGCTACTCACAGGTGAGACGTTTATATTTCTTAATGTTAGAAGTGAAATTAATTTGTTGTTTTTTGCAAAATAAAGAAACTGTTTTTCTTTTAACCTGGGAGCCATCTTGTGGTGTATTGTTGTTAGTGCACTATTTTCCACATCAGGAGAATTGTAGTGACAGAATGCATCTTTAGACACGTTCACAGTTTGTTCTCCTTTCTAGTCCTGACCCATGCCAAGCGCTTTGCCTTCTTCATGCCCACCCTGCCATGCCTGGTCGCATTCTGCCAGGCTTTCCCTCCTCTGTATGATGATGTCGCTGCGCTGCTGGTACAAATAGGACAAGTCTGTGCCTCTGATGTTGCCACCAAAGCCAGAGATATTGACCCTCTGATTGCACGTAAGTAAACTCCACTATATTCTCGACCTAGTACTATGTTGTAATAGTAATAGACGTTTTCTCCATTCCAGGCCTTCAGTACATGAAAGAAAAGCCCCAGGAGGCTGTGGTTTCTGGGGGAAGTTCTTTGACGTCAGCTCAGCGAGCAGCAGAGGAACTGGGAGGTTCAGACCCTGATGTGCAGCTGTGCTACTGTGTGGAGGCTACGTTTATGGACATCATCAGCTCTTCACTGCACAGACTATAGACTCAGCGCCTGCAGCCTCTAACAGACTCTCTGGAGGGTTGCACCAAAAAGGAACTGATTCTTCACACCACACGCTTCACAAGAAGTCTTCATCGTCGTACAACCACAATGCCTCATGGGATGTGTGAAGGACATTGATTTACTAATGGTTAAAAACATGGTCAACAATGTGTGCTTAGTTCTAATTTAGCAAGTTTGTTTTCAGTGTGGCATATACTTTTGTACTGGTTTTAGAGGTTTGGACAACAATACGGACATTTCCTACAAAAATAAATTATGACTGCACAAAATAATATCTTGAACTTCATTGTATAATTACACTTTGTTGAGAATGTATGTGGGGTTAGTTGAACTGTCAATATTTTTCAAAGTATTTTCTAAAATTGTTTAGAGTTTGTATTGTGTTTGTAGTAAAACAAGTGTCATATCTCTCTCTGTGTGTGTTTAATTCTCATTTTAGAGCCAGCTTTAGGCTGAATGACCATAGTGCATTCCATTGTGACCATGGATCTATATTGATTGTGACTCGTGATAAACTATGACTTCACCTGTTGGAGTTCAAAGTGTCAGTTTCCAAACGGTGCAGCAGATGGCAGCCTTGCTTCATGCAACAGTCACAAAGAGAATCTTCAAACCAGTCAAGAGTTGAATTGAACAAAGGCTAATTGTTCACATGATTACTTTTTTCCACCACGTATTTATCTATTTCACAAACTGCGTGCCATTCTACGACTACAAATGATTTCAAACTTGTTCAGTCATTTTTCAGGGGAATTTTCCTCGACCTTAATTCCAAGGAAAGTAAATCAGGAACAAACTCCACCAAAGCCAAAGGAGGTTATTGATCAGATCTCAGGAGAGAGATGCTAAAGCCAGAGGCCCGGGCTGGATCCATGTGTGGATCACTGAGACGCCCTCCTCAGGCCTCTCCACTGTCACTTTCCAGGAACAAAGACACGTCTAAAGCTCCGGTAATCCTGTGTGAAGACGATTGGTAATTAATAGGCAGCGTTTCCGGCAATAGTTTATTTTTAAGACTGTGTATGCGACATAACTGTATGCATCACTGGGACTGAACTCAGACTCATAATATTATATATATATATATATATATATATATATATATATATATATATATATATATATATATTATATTAGAGAGAGAGAGAGCTAGATAGATAGGCTAGCACATAGCTGCTAACGGTATACCTTCGAAGAATCAATTAGACATGATTTATACATATGAACAATGATTCTTGGTCCATCTTAATTGTAAAATCACTTCTCAGGTTCTGTGCAGATTGTGAAGACTAGTGTTGTGCTAAAGACTATATAGTACAGAGATGTCGAAGTCAAATACGTAAGAATTAATATTAAATAAAATTAAATATAAAAATGATTGCATATAACCTGTTGAAGCAAGACCTAGCACAGTGTACCATATTTTACTAAATTAATAATCCAATATTTTTGAACGGCTCTGTCAGTACATTTTTCAAAAGGCTCACAGACACAAAACAACTTCCTTTAAAAAGAAAATACATGTTCTGAACAATAAATGAATATTCCAATATTTTCTTTTGGTTCTAATACTAATCAAATATCATCCCAGGGGCCAAGATAATTCTTTTGCCTTGACTTTGACACCTATGATTTAGATGATCAGCTATGTCATGGACCCATCATGCAGTCCCCCAGTCAGTTGCATTGCACTCATACACCATCCTGTTGAAGCTTATGTCCAAACGAGCCCTGAGGCTGCTCTCATCCCATCCCTCCCATTCCTCCCATCCCTCTGTCCTCTCCTCTGTACCCTCCCTGTGTAACCCTGTTTTATGTTAGGATGCTGGTAGCGGTTCATTGTTATGCCAGGAGTGAATTTCTCTTTGGCCTGTTGCTAGAGAGAGTTTGTTGTGGACTAACTTCTGAAGTAAATAAAAAAAAAAATCTACATTAAGTTATGTTTTGTTTAAAGTGTCATAGATGTATGTTTTTCTTAATTCTAAATATATCTGAGTGAGGGACTATAACGGATGAAGCCACAGCACAGATGAGGCAGAAAAGAGCTTTCAGGTGGAGGTGATTTTAAATAAAAGGATTTTGGTTGAATAAAGGTTGATAATGTATGACCACAGACGCATGATATTTCCAGAGACAATGTACACTTTTGATCGCTCTTCAGTTAATTTTGATCTGAACAGACACATTTTCGGATTTTAATTAATTATATTCAAATTTAAATGATACGTCAATAACACTAGGCCCATAACTTTTGCTTTACCAAACAACTTATAACTATTACATACCATGCTATTCTAAAACACAGCTTTTAATGTCATTTCTCTTTTTATTGTGTGCAAGGATTACGAAATAATCTTCATGAGCACATCCATAGCACTTACAGTATGTGGACAATGTAAAGATTATCCTCGTGATCACGTAACTCACCAACAGAGAACGTAGCCCCTCGAGCTGAGATGAGTCAAGCTGTTTTCATGCTATGGTTTTGCCTGTTTTATTAGAGCTTTCATCTGAGACCATGAATGACGCTGGAGCCAGGCGAACTGAGTAAACATTGTGTGAATGGATGATTGATGGATCAATTTGGGTCGTGCGATTCCCAGCGCTGGTGGTGGCGGTGGCATTGATTATGTAGCCTGTGGTCTGCTGCCAAAATACAGTCCTTGAAACGAGTGTGTGTTGGAAAGTGTCCAGCTCCGTCTCAGCCAAACAGATGGCCCTCAATGCAGCAGTCATATCCATATTAATGGTGTGATTACAATGCATTACAATCAAGTAACCCAGTCATTAATGTTTTGACCTAAAAAGCAATTAGAGAATTTTATGCCCCGTACTAAGCTGTACAGTGTGGATTGAATTGAGGTTCTCCGTTATTTTTCTTGGTCTTCTGATGGATTTGAATGTGCAGGTTTTTGTCTGAGTTTGGAGGCTCAGCACAAAATATAGAATGCAATTGTTTATTGCTGGAGACTTTTTTTTATGTCAGCCAAGATACATGGGCTTCCATTTCAATGTTTTCCTGAATTCTAAATAAATGAATGTAGGACTGTCAGCTTGATAGTAATCTGCTTGAGCCTGGTTGACCAAGATTTGTGTTGGCTGAAGATGATCTTATTGAAAGTTCAAAGATTTGGATGGGAAATTTAGAATCTATGGAGGAAGATTGTGGTATACAGTACTCTTTGGTAATAGGCTGAACACTGACGCAGGCAAAGTCTCAATCTTGTTAGATCTAAGTGCTGCCTTTGACACTGTCGACCATGAGAGAACTGGGTTGGCGTCGCTGGCACCGCCCTGAGTTGGTTTAGGTCTTACCTTGAAGACAGGAAGTACTTTGTGGAGATTGGAAACTGTGTCTCAGATCATATGGCCCTGACCTGTGGAGTACCACAGGGGTCGATCCTGGGACCTCTTCTGTTCAATCTCTACATGCTGCCGTTAGGTCAGTTAATACGCAGAAACGAAGTTTCCTATCATAACTATGCAGACGACACTCAGATCTATGTCTCACTGACTGCAGGAGAACATGGACCAGTGGACTCACTCCTTCACTGTATCCAACAGATCAGTGAGTGGATGCAAAACAACTTCCTTCAGCTAAACGCAGACAAAACTGAAATGATTGTCTTTGGTCCCCAGAAACAAAGAGAGAGCGTCATTTGTCACCTACTGTGTCTCTCCCTATAACCTTCAAACAAGGTCAGAAATCTAGGGGTAATACTGGACTCAGACTTAAATTTTAATTTCCGCATCAAATCAGTAACATCAGCAGCTTTTTACCATCTAAAAAACATTGCCAGGATCAAAAACATAGTGTCTAAAGCAGACTTGGAGATTCTTATCCATGCATTTGTCTCCAGTAGGTTAGACTACTGCAATGGCCTGCTCACAGGTCTGTCCAAACAGGCTGTAAAACAGCTGCAGTACATTCAAAATGCAGCAGCTCGAGTCCTGACTAGAACCAGGAAGTATGATCACATTAGTCCAGTCCTCAGGTCTCCGCACTGGCTTCCTGTGGCTCAGAGAATAGACTTTAAAACAGCTCTGCTTGTGTACAAGTCTCTCCATGGCCTCGCACCAAAATATATTAGTGACATGTTAGTCCCATATGAACCAGCCCAGACTCTGAGGAGCACAGGGACTGGACTCCTGTTAGTGCCCAGAGTCAGGACTAAACGTGGGGAGGCTGCTTCTCAGATTCATGCCGCAAAAATCTGGAACAATCTTCCTGAAGATGTGAGACAGGCCTCCTCTCTGACAATGTTTAAAACCAGGTAAAAAACAGTCCTGTTTAGCTGTGCATACAACTGAGGGATTGTGTATTTTTTATCTTTCTTTATAATGTACTGTGATTATTTATTTTAATGCTATTTTGTTTTGTTCAGCACTTTGAATTGCCTTGTGTATGAATTGTGCTATACAAATAAACTTGCCTTGCCTTAATAGTACCCTGAGACTACACAACCTCAGCAGTCGTAGTCGTTCTTAAAGCTGCGGCACATGTCCGCACGCTACAGTTGTTCGCAGCCTGGACGCGCTTGTTTAAGACCTTGTTAAAGCTACACTGTCTACCTGATGAAGAAAAAGCCACTGTGTAAGAATTTGATCTCATCCTCCTCTGTGTCCTCAGGTGTGAAAATCCTTCTGCGCTCATGTTGGAGAAGCAAGCAAGCGTGCTCAGCTGTGAAATTGTATCTTTCTGCTTCAACACCGCCTCGACCTCCCTCCCAGTGTCTCCTGTCTGTCCTTTGTCACCCTGGTACAGTTTACACATTTGGCATGGCCTCCACAAGAACTGCTTTCATATATGATAAAGTCAAAGCCTGGGTGTTTAAAAGTATGCATAGTTTTAGATAGCAGGTTAGCATTGACTGGAGATATTGTAAGCTGATGTCAATACATTTTCAATATGTATGTAATGTATATTCCTGCATGGGGGCATAGACAGTGGTTAGAGCACTCACTTCCTGAGTTCGACT